ATTCAAATCATTAAATTAAAAAAAAAAAAAGAAAGAAAAGATGTGATTAGACTTGACGCATATGTTTCCAAGCATGCTGGATCCCTGCCTCAGAGCACCTGTGTGCCTGAGACGACTGGATTATTTTTGAGCATTTGCAGCCCGGTGAGGCACAAGAGACCTTTGTAATCACTGATGTTTAATTTTGGACCTGGGTGACTCTCGCAAACGCAGCGGTGCCCCAGCAGACAGAAGCAGCGTTACTGGCTGGGCTGGTACAAATGTGCATTTCCCAGTATAGCATCAGTTTGTGTCCCTCCACACACACGCATGCGAAGCGTAACTGTATTTTCCATAGTGATTTTATCAGGACTATTATCAGCACCCAGCCCTGCCAGCAAGCTGAGCCCCTTCATGCCCCCTGAAAGGGGAAGGTAAGAGGAGACCCTAACAGCGCCCTGTGCCTTGCGGGGAAGCCTCCCTGCTTCTGCCCTTTGGCCCGTCCTGCTCTTTTCTGAGCCACTGAAGATAGAAACATGGAAAGTTTGTCTTGGGATTGTTTGGTGCATCCCCTGCCTGTCCTCTTTAAAAAGAAAAAAAAAAGGAAAAAGGAAAAAAACATACAAAAAGTAATAAAATAAAGCCCAGAGTAGAAAATCCGGTTGCATCCAGAGTGCAAGGCTGTGGGCAGTCAGCGGCCACAAATGCTGATGAGAAGAGACTACAAAACCAAAGAAAGTTCCCAAATTCCCGTATTTGTTTTGTAGGCTGCTGGTTTGCCGTACTCACCCCCCCTTCCTCCTCCTCCTCAGAGCCGTCCCCTTCTTCCTCTGATGAGTCACTGCCCTAAGCAGAGGGAAAACCAAGCTGTAGCTGGACTGGTAGGTCTCCATTGGCGTCATGAGCATGACGGTCTCAGCCCAGCCCTGCAGGCCAGTGGCAGAAGGGGTGAAGACTGTGCCCCTGTCTCATTTGGGCTGATATCTCCCCATTTGGTGGGACAGCGAAGTATCAGCAACCCTTCCGAAGCACCCACCTGGTACCGTCTCTGCGGGGGATGCATGTAGACATATCTGTACAGGTAATACCGGTGCCTGTTCTTGAACACCTACCGGGAGAAGAAAGGGGTAAATCCCATCAGTCTGGGGGCTTGGGTACAGGAGCGACCGAAACGTCCTTGTCCTCAAGGCCAGCACCACGCGGGGCTGGGCACGCAGGGTGGGGGGAGACCCTACCGCGTTTTCTTCTGAGTCATCTGATTTGGCTCGCCGCAGCCAGCTCTTGACCTGAGGGAAAGGCTGGGTTGGCACGTGCCCCCCACCAGCCCCGGTAAGGCCAGGGGGTCCCCGTACTGCCCGGCACTCACCGAGAAGGCGCAGGCCATCCCCAGCAGGCAGGCGAAGAGCAGGGCACTCCTCATGGCTACGTTCTCTGGGAACAGCGAAACACGGCGAGGCCTGGCTTTTCAGCTAGAAAGCACCATCACTACCTCAAACCATGCAGGTGTTGGTGTCCACATGGGGGAGTGGCGACAAGACATGCTAACCTCCTGCCACCTCTTGATGGGGTCACCCAACCCCTCCGGAGACCTGAGTCCTTTTTTTTTTTTTTTGACAGATCTGCCTCAATTTCCATGAATACATTTTGGTTTTGCAAGAAAACACCAGAAGAGCGAGTTTCACCCAGCAGCGGATGTTTTGCGTTCCCTGAGCAGGACTACTCGCTCCTGCATTCCCGTCGCCTGCGAGCGAGTAGGGAGATCCA